TTATCACGGGTTTACCTCGTTCTCATCATAAGTTCGATTCTATATGGGTGATAGTCGATAGGCTCACGAAATCAGCTTATTTCCTACTGGTCAGATCTACATATACAACAGAAGACTATGCAAAGTTATATATTAAGGAGATAGTGCGGCTACACGGAGTACCAGTATCTATTATATCTTACCGTGGGGCCCATTTTACAGCACATTTTTGGAGGCCATTTCAGAAAGGTCTAGGGAATCAGGTGAATCTCAGCACAGCTTTTCATCCACAGACTGATGGACAAGTCGAGCGCACAATTCAGACGCTCGAGGATATGTTACGAGAATGTGTGTTAGATTTTGAAAGAAGTTGGGATGAACATTTACCTCTTATCAAGTTTGCATATAATAACAGTTACCACTCCAGTATCTAGATGGCTCCATACGAGGCTTTGTATGGGCGTAAGTGCAGATCTCCTATAGGGTGGTTTGATGTTGGAGAATCTAAGTTACATGGGCCAGGCCTGGTTCAGCAAGCCGTAGAGAAAGTAAAGCTTATCCGGGAGTGACTATTGACAGCCTAGAGTCGTCAAAAGTCATATTCTGACGTGCGGCGACGAGACTTAGAGTTCGGGGTTAATGACTGGGTATTCTTAAAGGTGTCACCTATAAAGGGCGTGATGAGATTTGGCAAGAAAGTCAAGCTTATCCCACGGTATATTGGGCCTTATAGGATCATTCGGAGAGTGAGCCAAGTAGCTTATGAGTTAGAATTGCCCTCGGAATTGGAGTCTGTCCATCCAAATTTTCACGCATCTATGTTACGGAAGTGCATTGGCGATCCTACCCGAGTGGTGCCCACGGATGATGTACAGATTACGGAGGACTTGTCATATGAGAAAATTTTGGTTGCCATCCTAGACCGGTTTTAAATCGGAGTCAATGATCTCATCAACAGTATTTGAGCCCTCTTAAGATCGACCTCGAATACTGGGGGCCATCACCCTCTGGTCAAGCTTCTTAGCAAGGAAAGAAGGAAACTTTGTGCTTATCAGCCTAGGCTCGGTGGTTAGGATTTATTGTAAGGGCCAAACGATCAAGTGAACCGTGCCCGCGTAGGCCACCTTAGCCATAATATAAGCTTTTATGTGCTTTCAATCCTATAGTTTACACACAGAAATAAAAGAAAGTTTCTACCTTGCTATTACATATTTTTGCCTCTTAAAGCATCGAGCCTAAGGGTTATTCCTACCCGGGGACTATCAAGACCAAGAGCTATCCCTATCCGAGCCCAAAGGCTACCCCCACTGGGGGACTATCGTCTGAAATAAGTTCGAGTAGCTCGGGTTATCAAAATCTGGAGGCACACAACATATTATATAGTGCCTAAACCTAAAAGGCTATAGCCGCTATTAAAAATGGCTCGGAGACGTCTGAAGCCCGTAATCAAAATGTTAGGCCTTCAATAAATATTCAAAACCTTCCAAAAGTTTACCCTAGGCAAAGTCACCGTCTAAGAACACTTAAGCATCTTGGGAAAACTTCTAGTCACTCAGAGTTTTCAAAAGCTTCGAGCAAAATTTGCATCGAGGTCATGTTCTGTTCGGACCTCCAAAAACTAAATGACTTATTACTATGTTTGATTCCATGCTAAGGCATTAGAAATATTAGTAATTAGGAAAAGATGCTAAAATAGTAGAGACTTGAAATTTCCAAAAGGGAAAATTTTATATATTCCGGAATATCTTTATAAAGGCTCAACAAGAACAACCTCGAAATAAACAAAAAATATGTACACAATACAAAAACTAAAAGATCCTAAGGCATTCACGCCTAGTCTTCGTCGGAGCCCGATTTGTCACCAGAACCATCGGGGTCTTTGGATTCTTTAGAGCCCTCGGAACCCTCCGCACCTTTGGGCTCAGATATCTTCTTCGCCTCGGCCTCAAGTCGTTTTGCCTCCTCTATCTCGACCGACAGGTCAAAGCCTCGGGCATGGATCTCTTCGAGGACCTCCCTTCGAGACAATCGCCTCACATATTCAGTATTGGTCTTCAGGCGAGCCTCGACTGCTTCGATATCGGCCTTGTATTGGGCCGCCATCTCGTTGGCATCGGCTGAGGTTGTCTCCTGCTTGGACATCATTGCTTCGAGCTCTTTACCAAAGGCATCCTGTTTTGCGGCGGCCGAGCTCAGCTGTGCTCGGAGATCCTCATTTTGCTGAGCCCATTTATTATCTTTCTCCTTCGCCACCCGAAGTTTAACCTCTACCGAAGATAGCTTCGCCTGGGCGTTTTACACTTTCGAGGCCAGCAGATCCATCTTGCTTTACCACCCGTCGGCCATTACTTTGATTTCATCCATCTCCTTTCGGAGTTGGTCGATCTGGTCGATCTTCTGCTGGACCTGTGAGGTATTGTTGTTAGCCACTACGACCGGTTCCTCGTTTCTAACTTCAAAGACCTTTACCTTTTCAACCAAGTCAGCGTACTCCCGCCTTAGGACTGATGCTTTTTTCTAAGCCCCGTCCATCTAGCTTGGCCTGAAGGTTCTTAATGACCCCTTCTTGTTGCTCACTGAGAAGCTTGTACATATCCCTTTCTCTGGGCAAGCTCCTTGACCTCAAGCTCGAGTTGATTGACCGCGACCCAGTACCGAAAGAAGCTCTCGTGATGAAGTACCGAAGCCTGCAAAAAGATGAAAAACGTGAGAAATATCAAAACCTAAGTAAAGTTCAAAGGAACGTAATGATGCCTTACCCGGTTCAGCGCCTGTTACGCCTCATTGAAAAGGCACAGCATGTTCACCTCATTCATTTTTTCCTGGTCCTCCTTGGTCACTAGGAATCGGAGGTAGCTATCTATCCCCACGAGAGCAGACAAGACCCGGGCATCCTCCGAGATAGTCAGAATAATCGATCTCTTACGATCGGGGTCTACACTCGGAGCAGGGAACTGGTTGATCAATTTCGGGCTCGAACTCACCCACTAGCTTTTATTGATGTGTCCTTCTTCGAAACTTCTAGGTCGCTCAGCCCAGAGAAATCTTCAAAAGCGGACGAGTCCACACCATCGAAAAAGGAATGAAGGGGATCATCCGCGCCATGGACCCCTTCATTGGACTTATCCTTTCCTACTTGGGCCTCCTCGAGCATAAAGTCGATGTAGTAGGGCGTCCCCGAAATCTCTATTATACTGGACGCTTCCTTCAGAGCGGAGCCGACATTCTGGGGAGTCCCACCCCGGGTCTCCATATCAACCTCTCGATTCTGAGGGAGGTTGGCCTCACAAGTCTCCCCCTCGGATGCCTCTTACTCCTCGTGAAGGGTCGTCCCGTGGGTGACGAAAATGAGGTCTTCCTCTGGCTCGTCCCTGAGCTGGAGAAGAAAATCGGAGTCAGGCACCTGGGAGTTAGAGCCCTTCCTGGGCTTTGCGAGCCACCCTCTTCTTTGGTTTCTTCACCTCAAGGCCCGGGGAGCCCGAAGGTTTCCTCTTCTTTTTCTTCTTTTCCTTCGCGACAGCCTCGGGTTGCCCCGTAATAGAAGGATCAACAAACAAGGACACGTCCCCGTCACCTTCCAAAGGCCTAAGTTCAGTGGTCTTAGGCAAACCTGCAACAACAAAGGGGAAGAAAAGTTAGTATGATGAAAGTTAGAAGCATGTTATTAACTATTCAGAGAGAGGACTTACCATGAGAATGGGCCTCCCATCGGCCCTTCGAAAGCCCGTGCCATGTGCGTTCAGAGTACGTCATATGTGTACAGATGCTCTCAATCCATGAATGAGAAGGGAGAAATAAAATAAAAATTTAAGAACTTCTGGGAAATGCACCAGAAGAGACTACACTTACGAGATGCGTTCCATTTCTCAGGGAAATGCATGAACTCGGGGGGGAATCAAGTCTTCGGTCTTTACCCAAACAAAACATCCTTGCTATCACCGGTCTCGGTGTTCGTCAATACTCGAAAAGGGGGCCTTGCTAGCCCGGCGAGTAAGCTTGATCAGTCCCCCTCAAAATTTTCGGGGACTGTATAAATGAAGCATATGATCGATCATGAACCGACGAGACTCAGTCTTGTTCACGAAGTAGCGAAGGAGGATCACGATCCTCCATAGAGATGGATTTGCCCGAGGCACACCTCGTACCTCTTGCAAAAATCCAGAACAATCGGGTCCACCGGGCCCAGTGTGAAGGGTTTAGTGTAAACACTCAAGTATCCCTCCACGTGGGTAGTAATGGCGTCCTCGGGTCCATAGACTACCACATCCTTGACTTCCCAATTGCAGTCCTTTCGGACCACGGGAAGAACGTCTTCGGTTACGGAGCATATGTACCTTGATGCTCCTTTACCCCCGATCTTATTTGCATGAGGGTTTCTCGACTTTAAAGTCGTCTACAATTGAACAGCCCCCGGGAATAAATATATTCAAGGGAGGCTCGGGGGCTGATTCGTCGGCAGCCACCTTAGAAGAAGCCATTTCGAGGGCAACTACTTCAGAAGTAGCTGCCTCAGTACCGGCGGCCGGTTGAGAAGATGAAAAGGCGACTTGTTGAGGAACAGATTTCGATGTTTTAGCCATTGTTATCTGGGGAAGTTTGAAAATTTAAAGAAAGAAGACGAAGGTTTGAAAAGACGAGTTTTGAAGGATGAAGATCAGAGTATGAAGATTTGAAAGAAATCTGGGTAAAACCTGAAAATCACTATGGAAGTTGAAGAACAAGGATGAAGATATGAAGATTTCGAAGAAATTTGGTGATAAGCTGGAAACCTCGAAGGTAAAAGCTTGGTCAAAAAGTAGAAAAAGAACAAAGGGTGAAAGCTTTTATAGGGAATCAAATGACACTTTACATTCGGAGGCAACCGGACGATGAGCGACACGTGTCCGAATGCAAAATGACGCGACTGATGGGACGTTTCTGCTCCTTCGTCGTAACGTACGGAGGAAGGAACCGGAGAGCATATATCGTTTCCCATCATTTCGGCAAACCTACTATCGGAGAAATGAGGAGACTATCTATATATGGGTAAAGCCGAGCCTAATGAGCACTCTGATTTTCCGGTGAGGCAAACGGAGCAAGAACATGACTGTAAGGAATCGGAATCAGAGCCAGGAGCCTCTCGTATCAGGGCCTGAGCAAAACACCTACCCTCGAAGCCATCGAGAACACGTGCCCTGAGTCCGGTTCGAGTCCCAAGATCTCGGAGAGCATTACCAAACGACCGCACACGATTAACAAAGGGTCGTAATATCCGTGCTCAACTGGATATCACGACGTGAATCTCAGCCCGTATCGGCAGAAAATCAGTGACTCGCGAAAAGGAAGATTTTTACCTTTCTTAGAATTGTACCTAGGGTAAAACTCCCCTAATATATAAAGGGGAGGCTAATTATTCATTAGACACTTTGTAACATGCATACCAAGGCAATATACTTATGTTTTCTCCATTTTTAAAGGTTATTCAAAGTTCTTGTTTTCGTTCATAAGTTCTTCATAACCTAAGGCAGGTTTCTCGTTAAGCCTTTAACCGAGCTCGAACTCACTATTATTATTGGTTTGGTTATCTAGTATATTCTTTATTTGCTTATTTAACGTCATTTATAACATGTATTGGATTAGTCATTAATCATATGTATTGGATTATGTATAAATTCAATTGTTATATTTTTTTAATGGCAAACAATTCAAGTCTTCCCTCTTCTCTCTTGTGCAACAAGAAAGGGGTCAATCGCTTCAACTTGGGAATCCATAAGCTTAATACCAGAAGATTAAACAGCGAGGTGAGGCCTAAAGTTGTGGCTTTCACAATGTTTTTGGAAAATCCAGTCATCGGGGATTTAATTGACACTGCATTGTCCGGCGGTATTGCCCTTTCCATGCAAAGAGAGGGGTCTTGATCAGGTGGGTCCTTTGCTTTCCTGGAAAACCATTTAATTCTTGCGTTAGCTTTTTCACTTTTAAGGTTACCCCAATCTCATACAGGGGAGCCAACCAACACTCAACTTTTCTAATCGGATTAATTCTGTTTTAAAGTCAAACCGAGTAAGGTTGTTTTAATTCTTAGCCTGAGAAGAGCAATCTTTGATATTGACTGTTTAAAACTTTGATGATATTCAGTTGTAAATTTTGATATGGCCTAAATGCACATGAATTTCTGCTGGTTTGTGGTTGAATTCTTCAATTTCGAAACTGCAACTTAAGAATACTGTAGGAAGCAGCAAAGGCGGCTTATTTTCTTTGATTTTTTTCTCATATCTTAGATGGCAGAGTTCTTCAGGCATTATCATCTTATTGCCAGTAAATTCTGACATGACGGTACCCAAGAGGTAAATCTTGTTGAGCTTTATGCGGAAGGCAAGTATATCTAAAAGAAAAATAGTTGAATCTGCTTGTCTTTACAATGCTCCTTATAAAAATTATGGTCTTAGCTTGTTGGTGCAAAGTTAGAGAGTTTCCTGTGAGTTCCTGTTAGCTCTCTGGTTACTTAAGTAAATTCATCTTTTTCCCTTTTTATTTCTCTCAAAGACAGCTTTAGAACAGCAAGTTAAATTACTGACAACACTAACTGATGCTATCAATTTGTTGATTTTGTGCGTTGACATGTTTAAGCATTATAATGGTATTCGACTTGGTGAAAATTTTACCAGGGACATCACATGATAGAACTGAGTTCATCACTTGAATGGCCATCTTTGATAAATTGTAACTCTACTAACTCGAGAAAGTTTAGAATACTACTATTGGGTAAGTTGTTTGTTTGTCAAAATGTCCTGGGTTTCATTGCATTCAGTTAAGCTTCTGATGGATCCTTAATGTGAAAGCTAATTCTCTTGTGCTAAGTATAGCAATGGAATAGCTTAGTTTTTCTGAATCTAATGTTGCAAGATATGCACTATGTTCATATATGGTGTATGTTAAGTATCTGATATCAGAACGAAAGTGGCAGGGGCTTATATTGTCTACTACTGCTAGTCTTGTGTGCATTTACTGCCATACAGATGTCTTGATTATCCGGCGTCGACCAAGTTTATGTACCTTTCCACTAGACATCAGATTGTTTTCTTTTTTGATGACCCGAAATCCGTCTGCAGCCAGCCCTTACGACCAACCTCAGTCTTCGAAACTCGGGATAATGGGCCTGCTCCTCTACCCATCTCCACTCAAAACGTCAGGCGCAATTTGCATGGCGCAAGGCTCAAACCTGTGACCTAAGTAACAAGTGCCTCAACCTTTGCTACTTGAACTAAGCCCTGAGGCAAGTCTAGTCATCAGAAATTATTCCAAGGTTGTATGCTTCTGGTAGTTAGCCGTAATCTCTGTAATGATTATAAGATGAAACAATACTGTGATGAGGATCTTCTTAATATATTTATGATGTTAGCCCAAAAACTATATTGGTTTTGCAGTGTTACAAAGTCTATGTTGTCTCCGTTAATGATTCTTTAAAATATTATCCGGCTTTAACCACTTCAATCGGACAACACTTGATCCCAAATAGATTTACTGCATTCTGCTGTCTCGTTTTCTTCTATTTACCAATATAACTGCTTCGTCTATATCCCCTTCTTCTTAGTTGAATGGAAGAGAAGCATAATGTGTATTCACTTAGTTGAATATAATTTCCCCTTCTTCTTTCATGTTTCCTACTTTCTCATTTCAAGATTCTAATTCTGTTAGAGTTCCAGATTTGGGATTAGTTTGTCCTTTTGTTTTTCAAGACCATGTTAGATGAAATAGCCCAATTTATGCTTATAGTTGGATTCCTTCATCTTATGGAAATAGTAACTACCTGTTCAGCTTGTCCATATTAGCATTGGGCCGGTCTTCATGCCCTGCTGGCCAATGTTCAGGTACCTTTTTTCAACCTACGCATGAAGCCTGCCTTTCATTCATTTAGTTCCTAATTTTTTTCGTGATTTGGCATTGTTTGTTTTTCCAGCTCTGGCCGCCAGGGAGCAATTCTAGCAGCTCTTATTTCTGGTCTCAACATAATAAAAATGCTTCTTTTGGGACTAGGATTATGGAAGGATGATGCGACTGTCAAGTCTATGAGCCGATTTGGAGACCACAGGTTCAGTAATTTGAAGAATATTTACAGCTTCTACCAAACAGTTTCATTAAACGATCTCTTGTTACAAAACTTAGCTATTACTAACAATAACAAGCTGTCACACAGCCAAAAACTGGTTCAGTTGAGGATGAGGTTGCTATCCAAATTTATTTAGGGTCATCCATCTCTTCAATCCTCATTTTTATTTTCTCCACTTCATTTCTCTAATGGAAACCGGGTATTCGTTAATTTCATTAAGCTGCAATCTATGAGTAATATGATGCTGCCAACATCTGTGAAAAACTGAACATGTTGACAATATTTATGCTTAAAAGTCTACCATCTCTTACATCGTAACTAAACGATGGGGAAGAAAATATTCTGAAAACATGCAACACCGCCAAATATGGCACTAGAGGCTAAGCCTAATTGCCTGGCAATCCCCATTTTCCTTCACTTGTTTGTGGTCCTAATTAAGCTAAGGATTACTTCTTTTGTCCGTCTATTGCCTTTTCTTCTTTGTTAAGCAAATTAATTGGCAACTTATAGTGTGGTTGGCATGTCTGTTACATTAGGGAGCTTCTCAAGGGACCGTTGTACTATGCCTTTACAATCACTTTGGCTTGTGCTGTATATTGGAGATATTCTCCTATTGCAATTGGACTAATTTGCAACCTTTATGCTGGTGATGGTATGCAATGCTGAGGCAACCCAATTCTACTCTCTCTCTCCCCACAATCCTAACTGTTCAACTTATTAAGTTGGAACGGTTAGGCGTCCTTCCTGATTGTCTGGCAAGGTCTTAATAAATAGTAGTAAAAAAGATACCGTTTTCCTGCTCCAGGTATAGCTGACATTGTTGGCAGGAGGTTTGGAAAACAGTAACTCCCGTACAATAAAAAACAAATCATTTGCTGGTAGTATTGCGATGGCGGCTGCTGGTTTCTTAGCATCCATTGGGTAATTGAAGCTTCCTTGTTATCGTGCTGCTTAACCACTGCGGCTTGTTTACTGGTTTACATGTTTTGCTATAGATACTTGCACCATTTCTCCTTGTTTGGGTATATTCAGGAGAGCTCCCACACGGTTTTCGGCTTCTTGTTTGTGTCGCTTGCTGCAGCACTACTGGTAGAATCCCATCCTATAAGCACCGAACTTGATGACAACTTAACGGTTCCCTTAACCTCAGTGCTGGTGGGCAGTCTTGTTCTGTGATATCGGACTGTATCCTTATATGGATGGACCGTCAAACTTACAAATGCTAACTGAAAATGGAAATTTTGTTAGTCTTAACCCAGGATTGTGTATCAGTAGTCCTGGTCAATGTACAAGCCACTGCATTACACAATCTTGTTACTTTCTGTTGTTGTAGTACTTATTAAAAAACGCAGAGAAAGTATAGCAAGTGTGTTTTCTTATGAAACATTTCTTGAAATTCTTATATTTGTCAAAAACGTGTTTTTGTTTTCGTTTTTCCAAGAGCTTTTTGCACAAATGTTTTCAAAATGTTGTTTATGTGAAAGTGGTTTAAGGATTTTTCCTTTTTCTTTTAATTGTTCTTTCATCCACAAAACACTAGCAAATCATTTAAAAAAAGTTACATTTATCTAAACACGTTTTATATATTTTTGTTTGGAATTTGTGGTCCTAAACAAGTCAAAAAGAGGTCCAGAGTATTTGTGTGATTATAAAATTCTCATTAAGGGTATAATTGTAAGTTTAAGCTAAATTGTTTTCAAATTTAGAAAGAGGTCATTTTTTTTGGAACGGACCAAAAAGGAAATAGGTTCACGTAAACTGGAACGGAGGAAGTATTTATTAAGAAACGCAGAGAAAGTATACTAAGTGTATTTTCTTATGAAACATTTCTTGAAATTCTTATATTTGTCAAAAACGTGTTTTTGGTTTCGTTTTTCCAAGAGCTTTTTGCACAAATGTTTTCAAAATGTTGTTTGTGTGAAAGTGGTTTAAGGATTTTCCCTTTTTCTTTTAAATGTTCTTTCATCCATAAAACACTAGCAAATAATTAAAAAAAAGTTACATCTATCTAAAGTAATTAATGAAATTGCTCACCAACTTATTAAAGGAATACCTCAAGATTTTTTCTTTGTAAAATAAGTTGCAGACAAGAAACTAATTAGTAAGTAATATGAAGGAACATTTGCAAATTTTACGGTAACAAATAGAAGTAACTCGTTCTTTTTCAAGAAAAAAATAGCAAAGACTTTTCTAATTTTTCTTGAATCATTTTTTCCTTTTACGTCAGGTTTAGTTCATCTTTTGAGTCCCATTCAGTCACTAGTATTTCTTATGCTCATTGTTCCTTTTAGACCTAGTAATTAGGGCACGTGAGAGCACTTGACGTGTTCATGGTTGGGTATTTTTCTTTTATTGAAATCGAAATCAAACTCATTAGGCAAAATACATATGTTACGGCCCAAAATCCCATTGAGGATCGTGATGGCACCTAACCCGCTTGCTAAGCAAGCCAAAATTCAGTCAACAATAATATAAGCAGATTATTAAGCCATTAATTGGTTCATAATATAAATAGCAATGCACGATAAAGGTCAATTCAATATATCATAAGTAAAAAATCGACGACAAGTTCTAAATACGCCACAACTATCCAACAAACGGCCAAAATTCGGTGTCACTGCATCACAAGCATATAATAAAAGTAACTAATATCAACGGGACAAAGCATCTGTCCGAAAAAAAAATACATAGAGAGGAATAGATAAGTAGGGAAGGGGAACTCCATGTGCTGTGAATCGGATCAAGTATAGTAGCTCACCATGAGGTCTCCAACAAAGTACTTCTACTCAACCCAATGGTACCACTAATACCAGTCTCGGAATCTGCAGAAGTATAGTATGAGTACAAAATTACGGTACTCAGTACGTATCAAATCTAGCGTTAAAGAAGTAGTGGTGAGGGGTTGACACCGACACTCGCTAGTAGTGTGATAAGAAAGTAAAAGCATAAAGTAAAGTTGTAGATAAGGCATGATATCATCAAATGGATACAAAGGCAAAACACACAGTAATACCTGCTATTTAGACATACTTTTCAAGTAAAGGAAGCATAATACATGTCAATATCTCAATTGCTACATAAATAATCGCTACACCCCCACACCTTCTCCCACGCATAAGGATTTATAAGTGGGGCTTTTGACACGGCCAATCGGCCGATGATACGAATGGGGACAGAGGGGGTCAAAAGTGGATTATACATTTCATTTTGCTTATGCCAGTTGTCCCATCAGGTGCTGCAACCGGAGCGGGGCAACCCATTTTACATGTGAAGCCGGCGCAATTTCCCAAGCATGGTATAGTATAAAAAGGTATTGCAGCCCTCTTCTCCCTCATTCTAGAGGATATCACCCACATAAGTTCTCCCAAAATGTTCTCAACGCCCCTTTAGAATTCCCAAACAGCCTAAGGCAAGGTCGAAGGTGCATCGGGGAGGATCTAGTGTGAAGGATCTTGGAATCGTCGCTATTATATCTATCATCTTATTGTATTGATTCTAGAGATTTGTTGGAGGCAGAATTAACCATCATAGAAGTGTAGCTAGTTCTTCAACAAGGTATGTAAGACAACTTTCTTTCCTAGCATGAGTTGGTGTAAGTCTCTCCTTCCCTCTAAAGGATTTCTGTATTTTAAGAATTGGTTTCATGAGTCCTTCTCAGTGACATTGTTCTTGTTCCAGTACATCCTTGTCAGTGGCATTCCTTCCAAAGTCTAAGATGTTCCAAGTTGGTATCCTGAGGTCGGAATGTAGGATTCATTCCGAGTTTAACCTTAATATCTCTTAAAATTAATCATGCATTGCACTTTTATGTATATCTATCTATTTTACTTCACCAAGCCGTGCTATAGACGGTCGGGTACGACACTTATTGTGCAACCACTGATCAGTTGAGTATGATGTGAAATGTTACAGAGCCATTGTGTGGCCGGGTATGATCGAGTCCTCTAAGAGGCCGGGTACGGAGTGATGTGATATGAAAGATTGCCGAGCCCTTGTATGGCAGGGTACGACCAAGTCCTTTGGAGACCAGGTACGCCAAGTTTTGTTAAGATCGGGTACAAGCGAGATCCTTGAGGCCGAGTACAATGTAATAATAATATAAGACTTTACCGAGTCCTCTTCGAGGCCGGGTACTATATGAAGTAATACGCCCCCAAATAGTGGCCGAGTAATATTGTATTATAATTATAATCAATGCATAGTCTCCATGAGTGCCCTAACCCTTTATAAAGCTTGCATATTTTTAAGTCTTATGGTTTCCACAATTTACGCCCGCGGTGGCGTATCTTCGATATTCAGGTTAAAATCATGTATTCATATCTCTTACGATCATGTCTTTGAATTTCCTACCTTCTCAGTCTTACATACTTGGTACATTTTCCGTACTGACGCCCCATTTTCTTTTGGGCATTATGCGCATGCCCACAAGTGCAAATAGACTTGGTGATGCCCCTCCTCAGTAAGTGCACGATTTAGATGATTGGTTGTCGCTCTCCATTTCTCCGGAGTAGTTTCTCAAAAGTCGATAGGTACTAAAGTATATGTTCCAATCATTTTGGGTACGGTGGGGCCCTGTCTCGACCAAGTTGCATATAAGTATATTTCTTTTGGTACTCTTAGAGGCTCGCAGACTAGAATTTGGTTGTATGTAAAAAGGTGGATAATGGCTGTTTAGGTACAATTATAAATATGTATACAATGTTAGTGTTTCTTTTGCAAGTCATCTATACACATCTTAAATTTCCAATATTACTACTTGGAGGCCTCGTTGGCCCAGGATTTATGATTAAAAATATATAAGCATGGACGTCGGTTCACACAGGCCTTCGGGAGTCGTGTGCCAATCGTACCTCCCAAGGTTGGGGTATGACAAACTTGGCATCAAAGCAGGCCAGTCAGGGAGTCTGCAAGACGTATCTAGTATGGTCTTGTTTATGGGTATGTCGTACACCATACTTATAAATAGGAGGCTACATGATATCTAGGATGAATACCCTTCTTTCTAATCTAGATCGTGCGATAGAGCTGAGTCGTAAGTATTCGTTTCCAATCCTTATCTTGTTTATGCTTATAGCATATACCTACTGCGAGATGCCAAGCAGTTATTGAGGGATTGGATGAAGAAGTAGGAGAAGGTACCAGTCAGGTTCCACTTACCCCTATGGGTGAACATGGACCATACGATGAGGCTGGTACTCAGGTCTCGAAGACAGCACCACCAGCCCCGGGACAACATAGAGAAGCTAATGTACCTCATATTCCTCTTCCGATTGTTTTTGAATAGGATTTAGATATGAGAAGTGCAGTGCAGTTGTTGACTCGATTAGTGGCCTCTCAAGCCCAATATCAGGCCACTTCCACCTTAGCTAGATTCGTTAGTACGAGAGTTCGGGATTTCATAAATTTGGACCCCCCGGTATTCATACTAACGGATCCAAATAAAGATCCCTAATTTTTCTAGATCAAATGCAGCGGACTTTACGAGTTATTCATGCCACTGATACTGAGTCCGTAGCACTTGACTCTTACAGATTGCGGGATATAGTTGGGACTTGGTATGAGACTTGGGACCAGTCTAGGGGATTATTTGCCGCAGCAGCAGGGTAGAGAGAATTTTCTGAGGCATTCTTGCAGCAGTATCTGCCCGTTGAACTCTGCCGATCAAGGAAAGATAGATTTTTACGGTTGGAGCAAGGTAATATGAGTAACCGAGAGTATAGCATGAAATTTAACTCCTTGGCTAAGTATGCTCCCTCAGCGGTGGCTGAGATGAGTGATCGGGTACATCGATTTATGGGCGGTTTGGGACCATATCTGATAAATGAATGTACCATAACTTCTTTAAATCTGATAATGAATATAGCTCATATTCAAGCTTATGCACAGAGCTTGGAGGATCGAAAAAGGCAACAGCGGGCTGCTCGAGAGCATGATCGGAGCCAACATAAGAGAGCTCGATCTACAGGTGATATGGGAGAATCAGGAGGTGAGTTTAGACCTCCGTTTCCTCGGCATCCTTCTCACCTCGAGGCTAGTGCGACATCATAGTTATAGGGTCAGTACCATGATCGGATCACCTACTCCGGTCAAGGTCCGAACCCTCGAGGACATAGCTCACAATATAGTGGATACCCTAGTAAGATGAAGCCCCTGGTGCCATATTATGGCCGATGTGGTAGGAATCATATTGGTCATTATTGCCAGGTTTCAGACTTGTGTTATTCTTGTAGGCAGCCCAGTCATATCATACGCTTTTGTCCAGTTAGAAATGTGGGTGGCGCGATGCCGCCAACGGTACTTGCAACAACTTCTTTGTCGATAGCGAATCCTCATGAGCAAGGTATGCAACCTTCAGTGGGGAGAGGTAGAGATAGAGGTGGAATG